GGGCAACATAGCAAGACTTGGTGACTAAAAAAATTACCAGGGTGTGGTGGCACCCACCTGTAATCCCAGTCAGTAGTTCTGGGCTCAGGAGGTCAAGGTGATAGTGAACCATGATCAAGCTACTGTACTCCAGCCTGGGCAACAGAGACCCCTGACCCCCACCCCCAAAAAAGAGAAAGAAAAGCGCTTGAAAACTGAAGGGCACTTAGCAATGAATAATTTACTCATTATTTCTTTGCAAACAATGACTAAATCATTTCAGAATTTATAAAGTTAAATACCTAACAATTCTCACCCTTTAATGTCTTTCAGTAATGTTTTAAGTAAGTTAAAGGCAAAACTGTTTTCCTAGAAATGGTTTCTGAGCTCAGAATCATATTTTACAAGCATAAAACTATGGTTAATGATTACCAATATAATTGGGGTGGGTTTGAGATACCTAAGTGAAATTTAAAAATTTCTACAGGTGGCCGGGCACGGTGGCTCAAGCCTATAATTCTAGCACTTTGGGAGGCCGAAGTGAGGGGATTACCTGAGCCCGCGGGTTCAAGACCAGCCTGGGCAACATGGTGAGACCAAGTCTCTACAATAAATCAAAAAATTAGCTGGGTGTGGTAGTGTGTACCTGTAGTTCCAGCTACTTGGAAGGCTGAGATGGAAGGATCGCCTGAGCTCAGCAGATCAAGGCTGTGGTGGCCAGGAGCATGCCACTGCACACCAGCCTAGATGGCAGAGTGAGACACCAACCCCCCAAAAAAATAAAATAAAATTTTTCTACTGGTTAAAAACTTCTACTCTTCTACGTAATTCAAAATCAAATCATCTAGAACAAGTATTTGAAAGGATTCCACTGTAAGAGTTACAAAAATTCAAACCAAGATACAATTACACCATTCCTTTTTATAACAGAATAAATACATATGAATAGTTGCATATGCAAGTAATAAAAGTTTATGTCAATAAAGAAAATTGCTTGTTTTAGAGTATCATCACTTCCCAAGTAACAAATGCTAACTGTATAATTTTATGATGGTCTAAACTGTTCACAAATGTCTAGATTAGAGACAAATTTATAATTAATCAATGTTTTTTCAAATATGAAGGGAAAATTATCATACACATTCCTAAAGGTATCACAAACACATGTACACACATAAGTCAAGAAAAAAAAATCTGTCATTATGACAAACCTCGTAAGTGCCACAAAACATTAATTATTTCCACCTAACTTTGATATACTTAAACACACTCAATACTGAAATCCATATTTATAAAAAATATAAATTAGGAGATATGGCTTTTGACCAAAACAAGTCTCCTTCATAGTAAGATTTCTTTTTTTTTTTGAGTTGGAGTCTCACTCTGTCACCCAGGTTGGAGTGCAGTGGCACATTCACAGCCACCCCAGTGTCGACCCGCTAGGCTTTGGTGATCTTTCCGCCTCAGTCTTGCAAATAGCCGGACCTAAAGGAACGTGCTACCGTGCCTGGCTAATTTTTGATTTATTATAGAGATGAGGTCTCACCAAGTTGCCAGGACTGATATCAAACCCACGGGCTCAGGCAATCCACTTGCCTTGGCCTTCCTAAGTGCTGGGATTACAGGCTGAGCCACCAAGCCCGGCCATAAGATTTCTTTAAATTAACAATTTTTTTTTTTTAATCGGAGTCTCACTCTGTCACCCAGGCTGGAGTGCAGAGGCACGCTCACAGTCACAGCAGCCTCAACCTGCTGGGTTCAGGCAATCCTTTCACCTCAGCCTTCCGAGAAGTTGGAAATACAGGTGTGTGCCATCACGCCCAGCCAACTTTTTGGCTTATTGGGAGAGATGAGATCTTGCCAAGTTGCCCGGGCAGGTCTCGAAGACCTGGGTTCAGATAATCCTGTCGCCTTTGCCTCCCAAAGTGCTGACATTACAGGTTTGAACTACTGCGCCTGGCCAGAAGAAATAATTTAAGTAAAAAAGTTGAGTATCAGGGTCAGCTCTACTAATGACAATATAACTCACTCCTAACTCTAGTCTCCCAGAGATAACATTCCAGAATTCTCTAGTCAAGGCACTGTTTAGCTTTTATCCTGTCTCTACTTCCACTACTGTAAGCAAATAAAACTTCCAACTAATTGACCAGCCCTTTGAGTGCCACATGAAAAAAGATGTGCAGGCCGGGCTCGGTGGCTCAGCTTGTAATCCCGCACTTTGGGAGGCCGAGGTGAGTGGATTGCCTGAGCCCGCGGGTTCGAGATCCCCTTGGGCAGCGAGACCTCATCTCTACAATAAATAAAAAAATTAGCTGGGCGTGGTAGCGTGCACCTGTAGTTCCAGCTACTTGGAAGGCTGAGGCGGAAAGATCACCGGAGCCCAGCAGGTCGAGACTGCAGTGGCCGGGAGCGGCTACTGTACTCCAGTCTGGGTGACAGAGTGAGACTCCAACTCAAAAAAAGAAAAAAGATATGTTTGTACTAACACCCTCATTTTAAGGCCTTAATTGGGGAAATTTTGAATCATTTAGAGCAACTGGGCGATATCGCCCCCTAAGGAATATTTGGTAATGACTAGAGATATTTTTGCTTCTTGTGACTGAGGGGAAGGACAGGTGCTACTGGCATCTAGTGGGTGAAGGCCAGGGATACAGCTGCATACCTTGCAATGCATAGAACAGCTCCCTACAACCCGGACTTATCTGACCCCAAATGTCAATTCTGCCAAGGTTGAGAAACCTGAATTTAGCAGAATATCCAAAAGCACTTTGTGCTCTAGCCAGGGCCTCCAAAAATTCACTGAATTTTTCTAACCATTTTACTGTCACAAAACCATGACAATGGTTTTATTTCCAGATCTAGAATTTTAACATTATCTTCGAGTGTTATGAAAATGACAGGCTGTACTATTTAATATGTTTCAAAAGATAAATGGTTTCACAAGTGCTATCCTGGGCTTGACTACCTAACTCTTTCACAACTAATATTGTCTCTTGCCAACCAGACAATTTCATCTCAGTGAAAAACCCAACAAAAGATGATACTATTATGATAAAACCTAGGGGTCTCATCTTGGTGGCATTCTTTTGGTGCTGGTTTTAAAGGCAGTCTAATTACTGTACATTATAAAGTGGTCTGTCAGAAAACCACGAGTAATGTCATCAGCTATCAGTGAATATGACGTGAGAGCTCCATGCCAAATACTTGCAGTGCAATCTCTGAAAGCACTGCTGAAAAGCAGATGCAAAGAATGCCACGGTTGAAGCTAAGAAATCATGCTTGCTGCCCAGTCATGCGTGTGTACTTGTCTCTCTCCTACAGATACAACTAGAGAGAACACTAGAAACGCTGAGGCAATCAATACAAAAGGATTCAAAAGATCTCTGATACAGATGTTCAAAAGCATTGCCTCAAAAATACTTTAACAGCCAAAAACTTATGAACCTTCTGTCTGCCTCTTTCCAGTCTCTACATTTCACTGAAGCCAAATGGCTTAGGAGGGATTACCTGAGCCAACTTGCTTAGAGATAAGAAATCTGAGTGAAACTCAAAATTAGAGACTTGCTAATGTCAGTGCCAAAATCCAGGTCTACAGAATCCTAGTTGAGTCGTCTTCTTCATTGCATGATTTCTGCTGAGAACTAAAGAAGAAAAACTGGCTCAAAACTCTCCCATTTTTCTCTTTATCAGAAGAGATTCAGCAAAAATTTAAATTAAAAAAAAAAAAAGGTATTAAATAGCCAGGTATAGTGACTCACACCTGTAATCCCAGCACTCTGGGAGGCAAGAGGATTGCCTGAGCACACGGGTTTGAGACCAGTCTGGGCAACTTGGCGAGATCTTGTCTCTAAGATAAATCAAAAAATTAGCTGAGCATTGTGGTGCATGCCTGTGGTTCCAGCTACTTGGAAGGCTAAGGCAGAAGGCTCACCTGAGCCCAGCAGGTTGAGGTTGTGGTGGCCATGAGCATGTCAGCGTACTCCAGCCTGGGTGACAGAGTGAGACTCTAACTTAAAAAAGGTATTAATCAAAACTGAGCACAGTATTCTACAAAAGTTCCAACAGAGCATAACTAAAGGATGACCTCTTGGCCTCTGCAGGTCATTTTTATCATCCCAATTACAAAACAAATATATTTATATAAGTAGAGAATTCCAGCAAATATTATATACATTTCAAATTCTCTCAATGCTAAATATCCAGGAACATTCACTCTGATGCATACCTAAGAAATGTAAGTAAAATAACTACACATTAACAATATAGTTTGAGAAATCTGCTAATAGTTAACACATAAATAAGTTTCCTAGCCTGACAGGAAAAAAGCTACAGATAATGTTTTTGGGGGAAAAATTCACAATCTATATAAAATATACATGGTGCAAAAGGCAAAAATAAAATTCAGCCATCACAATTCTTAATTGTCGGTAAGGTCTGGGTTTACATGGTTTTTATTACTATCAGGTATTTATGGTCTTGGTTTTGTTGTAACTACATATAAAAAATAATTTATCAGGGGTTGAAGGAAAGAAGTCATGTTAGGAAAGTTAGGAAGCTTTCTGAAAATAAGATTTTGAAACAGTTATGAACTTAATAAAATGGAAAGGAACATATTTCCAGTTAAGAAAAAAGCTAATTACAACTGACAAGAAAAACCAGGTTTCTTATAGTATGATGCTATAAAGTATCAAATAACATCAGAAATCTACAGCTGCATATATATATTGTAAGTTGATTCTCTTGTACTCAAAGTTAACTATGAGGCAATACTGAAACTTCTTACCCCAAAATAGACAAGATTTTGAAAGTATGCTATTCTCTTAAAGCTCAACTGGACAAGCCATCCTTATGATCAGTATCTGAAAAAGCATTTAACTGGGGCCTACTGCAATTTAATTGCCGCAATTCAGGAGGTATTAAAAAAAAAAAAAAAAAAGCAAAAAAACCTTTTAATACAAACAATCCAACACAACACAGTGAAAAGCCTTGGATAGGGAGAAGAATATAAGAAAGATAGGTACCTCATAGTTTGAGAGAAAATCTAGTAATTCGAACTGAGATGGGATGTAGAGAAGTGGTTTCATCACCCGGCGTACAAACTTCTCAATGTAAACAGCACTCATAGGGCCTTTGTATTCAATTGGTCCAAAACTAGTACCAAAAAAATAAAAAATAAAAAATACACCATGCATTAAACCGTTAATGTATAACTAAAATCATCAGTACTACAGATGAAAATGTCTTGCTTTAGGATCCTACTGGGTTGCCAGAAATAACCTGCTTTGCTCACAAGGTAACTGGAGGGCTAATGAAGAAGAGCATTTTAGGTGAGGGGAGGTACAAGTAGCCCTCACCCTCCAATGAGCTTAAATTGCAAATTCATTCCTGTCTCTGAAAAAAGTATTAACTCTCACAATATTTATTTATTTTAAAACAGAAAGACTGGCCTGGAAACTGACCACACGCTAAAGGATTCCAGGATTTTAACTACACAATTCAACATAGGTGGGCATACTTTCCTTCTGTAAGTCACTCTGAAATTGAAAACAAGTTGAGCAGTTGGTCCCTGGCTACCAAAAAGTAGCTGCCTCAGAAGAAGAAACAGGCCAAAATAAATAAACAAATAATAGTTATTAAGTATTCCCACAGGCACTTACACAAATGAACCTAAAACCTATTTAAAGCTTTTTCACAATAAAAAATTATGTGAGGGTATAAAGTCAATGACCTATATAAATAACCTGCCTTCCTTGCCTTCCCATTGTGCTTAGAGACCCAAAGAATTTGCTTCAGCACTGCTAAGCAACACCACCACCATTCAGTTACCCTCCTGAACTAATCAGAATTCTCACATAGCTCTCTTCAATCCTGAACACAACATACATTTCAAAATGTAATTGGATGGCAGGTGGTGGGGATGAGGGGAATCATGAAACTCAACACCTGCATAACCATTTATTCTCTCTAAACAGAACACATTAAGTTTACTGTTAAGAGCAAAATACAGCTGGGCGTGATGGCTCAGCCTGTAATCCAAGCACTTTGGGAGGCCGAGGCGAGTGGATTGCCTGAGCCCATGGGTTCAAGATCAGCCCAGGCAACCTGGCGAGACTATGTCTCTACAATAAAATAAAAAACAGCCAGGCGTGGGTAGCCTGCATCTGTAGTTGCAGCTACGCAGAAGGCTGAGGAGGAAAAATAGCTGGAGCCCAGAAGGTTGACGCTGGGATGGCCATAAGCAAGCATGCCATTGCACTCCAGCCTGGGTGAAGGAGTGAGACCCCAACTCAAAACAAAACAAAGCCGGGCCCGGTGGCTCAGCTTGTAATCCCACGCTTTGGGAGGTTGAGGTGAGTGGATTGCCTGAGCCTGCGGGTTCGAGACCCGCCTAGGCAACTTGGCGAAACCTCACCTCTACAATAAATAAAAAATCAGCCGGGAGTGGTAGCGCGTGCCTGTAATTCCGGCTACTCGGAAGGCTGAGGCGGAAGGATCGCTGGAGCCCAGCAGGTCGAGGCTGCGGTGGCCGGGAGCGGCCACTGCACTCTAGTCTGGGTGACAGAGTGAGACTCCGATTCAAAAAAACAATGCTTAGCATTGCTCTGGAGCCCTCTTAACCATCAGGAGCAAATCTCTGATCTCTGCTTTCAGAGTTTTACTTAACCCTATAGCTTCTGGATGTTTGTGCAGTATTGAAAAGACATGAGAAAAGAAATTAGAAACCTGGTTATAATCTGACGCTAAAACTAAAAACAAAGAAATGTATCTCTTTCTTCAGAATTAAAACTAAAATCTTAAATAAAACAGAAAACTTGATAATTTAAAAAAAAATGCTCACTGGGTGTAGTGATTCACACCTGTAAATCCCAGTACTTTGGAAGGCCAAGGCGGGAGAATCACTTGAGTCCAGGAGTTCGAAACCAGCCTAGGCAACAAGGCAAGCCCTCATCTCTATAAAAAATACCAAAATTAGCGGGGCATGGTGGCATGTGCCTATAGTCCTAGCTACATGGGAGGGTGAGGCAGAATGATCTCCTGAGCCCAGGATTTGGAGGCTGCAGTTATCCATAATCATGTCACTGCACTGCAGCCTGGGCAACAAAGTGAGACCCCTAACTCATAAAAATAAATAAATAGCCAGGCTCGGTGGCTCAGCCTGTAATCCCGTGCCTTTGGGAGGCTGAGGTGAGTGAATTGCCTGAGCCCGCGGGTTTGAGATCCGCCTGGGCAACTTGGCGAGACCTCATCTCTACAATAAATCAAAAAATTAGCCAGGCATGGTAGTGCACACCTGTAGTTCCAGCTACTTGGAAGACTGAGGCAGAAGAATCGCCGGAGTTCAGTAGGTCAAGGCTGCGGTGGCTGGAAGCGGCCACTGCACTCCAGTCTGGGTAACTGAGTGAGACTCCAACTCAAAATAAATAAATAAATAAATAATAATGATATGAAAAGATGCTCGCAGAAGGTTTTTTGTTTTTTTTTTCAAAGCAGTTTAGGAAAAAGCATTACTGCCTGATCCCATTTTTAGTTTTAAAAAACGGGGTGGTGGACTTTGGTGGCTAACATTTGTAATCCCAGCACTTTGGGAGGCCAAGAATGGAGGATAGTTTGAGGTCAGGAATTCAAGAGCAATCTGGGCAACATAGTGAGACACCATCAAGACAAAAATGTTGTTAAAAATTAGCCAGGCATGATGGTGCATGCCTATATAGTCCCAGCTACCGGGAAGCTGAGGCAAGAGGATGCCTTGAGCCCAGAAGTTCAAGGCTGCAGTAAGCTGGGACTGTGCTGCTATACTCCAGCCTGTGCAACACAGTAAAACTTTGTCTCTTTTTAAAAAAAGAAAAAACAGAAGAGGAAGGGTGGATGTGTATATACACAATAAGAAATAAATAAAAATAGAGTGATTATAGGTGGTGGATAAAATTATCCAGATCCAGCCCGCCTGGGCAACTTGGCAAGACCTCATCTCTACAGTTAAAAAAAAAAACAATTAGCCGGGCATGGTAGCGCACACTGTAGTTCCAGCTACTTGGAAGGCTAAGGCGGAAGGATCACCGGAGACCAGCAGGTCGAGGCTGCGGTGGCTGGGAGCGTGCTACTGCACTCCAGTCTGGGCGACAGAGACTCCAACTCAAAAAAAAAAAATATATATATATATGTATATATATATTATCCAGATCCCTTTTTATTCATTTATTTTTGCTTATCTGTATTTTCTCAGTATTATATAGTGAGTATCTAATACTTTTACTCAGACAAAAATACAACATTCATTTATAAATTGACAAACCCAACTGGAATTAAAAAGACCACTTAAAAAATTCTTACCTCCGATGATACAAATATATTACAGGAAAATAAAAGAAGTGTTTCTGTTTTCTGCATTTTCCCTGGTTCCACCAACAGTTAATCGCCACAAACAACACCTGCAGAGTCAAAAAAGGTTTTCAAATGACTATGTGTAACAACGGAAAAGTTACCAAGATTTAAAAGATGAAATTATAAAAATAGGAACTATTCCGCTCTTCAATGAAACAGAAAGCATGAAAAAAACTGTTCTTAACTTTCAAAGAAGGTCATCATTTACCACTAAAAGAAAAAAGAAAGACATACTCTTATCTACAGTGTCTAGCTAGGATTTGGAGTATGGCTCAAGAAAAAATTATTTGCTTTGAATTCTAAAGTGAATGAGTGCCAATGAGCGTTTTTTCTTTTATTTATTTATTTTTATTTTATTTTTTGTCAGTGAGTTTTTTCTAAGTATGATTATACAAAAACTTAGAAGAATATTTCTGAGAGTCAAAGTGAGCATCTGAAAATGAAAAAAAAGTTACTGCACATAAAACATTACAAATGTCAAAGGACTATTTTCAATGACTATTTTAAAGACTAATAAAGACAATAGATTACTAAGAGGTTGTACTGAATAGTAAAACTATAATTAGATACATACAGGCAGATGTTAAAATATTTAGGGAGAAGTGTCCCTATGTCTGCAATTTACTTTGAAATGTACCAAAAATACAGCCTAGGCAACATAGTGAGACCTTGTCTCTACAAAAATTCAAAAAACTGTTGAGCATGGTGGCATACATCTGTAGTCCCAGCTACTCAAGAGGCTGAGACAGAAGGATCACCTTAGCCTGAAAGGTGAAGGCTGCAGTGAACTGCAATCATGTCCCTGCACTCCAGCCTGTGTGACAGAGTGAGACCCTCAACAAAAAAGCAAAAAAAAAGGTACCAAAAATAGTAGACGGACTGGAGTAGAGCTTCTCAAACTGGGCGCTACGCCATTTTGGGCTGAATGATAGGGGTTTGTGGTTATGCCTGTTTTGTTAAGAGAGGCTGTTAAACTGGATGTAGGATAGTATAGGGTATTTAACAGCTTCCCTGACCTCTAACCGCTAGATACCAGTAGCACTGCCTCTCTCAAGCAGAAGTAACCAAAAATGTCTAGACGTGGTCAAATATCTTAGGAGAGGGGAGGAAGGAACTGCCTCTTAGTTGAGAACCTTTAGACTAGAAGGATGATGAGCTAGATGAACACATGATAAAATAAGTACAGTAAAATATTAAGAGGAGATTTTGGTGGTAGGTATATGTAAAATTCTTTTACCTTTGCTATGATTGAAAAAATGTAATGTTATTTTAGACAATGAAGACAGATTACAAATGAAAAGTCACCTTTACTCTGCACTAGACTGGAGTCCAGTCTCTTTCTCTCTCTCTCTCTCTTTCTTCTTCCCCCCAATTGAAAAAAAAAGAAAAGAAAAGTCACCTTTAAATACTTTAATCCTACTATAATATCATCATTGCTCAAGACTTAGTGGCAACTCTCTAGAGCTCCTTTTAGAGTCTGTTTATGAGGGGGAAAAAAGCAATAACATCTTCACTTAGGGCTGCCATCTCACTTTTCACTCAAAAATAGGGCACAATTTACCATGTTTACCAAGTTTATCAAGTATTACGGTTCAAAAGGTTTTTGCCCTTTTCCAAAAACAAGACCACTCCTTTTCCCTACTGAGAACATGGAACAATAAGCTCTCAATTTGGAAGGAGCTGAAAAAATTTTTTTTAAAAAACAGCATTGGTCACTGTGGACCCACTGCTTGTCATTGTGTGATGGCTAAAAGTACTTCGCCCCTCTAATCCTGAGGTTCTGTTTCAGAAAAACAGGACCAACAGCAGCAGCTTGCAGAGTCGTGGTGAAAATTAACACAGGGCCCGGCACACCAAAATGTCATTATTATTATACCAATGTTATCACTCACAAGGACATACTACTTAACAGTAAGATAACTAATTTACACTTAACTTAAAACAAAATCGAGTCCTCTCTTGTTTCCCACATGGGAGACGTGAACTCTGTTCTCTAAATTCAGAAGACTCAGGGAATGACTGACAAACCGGTGATGTCTTTTATGCTCACATACTGCTTGCCTTCCAGTGCTCCTTAGAGTTCCTGTTTCCTCCCTGGAAGTATCTGCCAGCTTGATTACTATTATCGATTTTTAGGGGGGTGGGGGGTGGGGTAAAGAGAAGACAGGGAATAGATAAGTTCCATGGTCCACAACTGGAACACAAAATGCACTTCCCCCCAACCCCCTCTCCGAATCAGTGTCATAAGGAATGGAGAGTTATATTTAACAGTACTTGGTAACACTTTCAGGAATATAATGGTTAAAAAGGTATACAGGCTTGAGCAGGAAGCCTAGCTACCACTTATAACATTGTTTCTAAGAAAAACAAACCCGAAAGTTCCAAATGAACTTCTGAAACTCAGCTGTCTACACTAGTTACCTCAGATCAGTGATTCTGAGCAGGAGGCTCTTAGAAATCTGTGGAAGCTCTTTCTTTGCTGCAATGACTGGAAGAAGCTACAGGGCATGCACAGGGTGGAGGCCCTGGTAGATACTCCTGGTAGACCCAAAAATGCTTTGCACAGGGAATAGTCACTCACATCATGTCAGAGCAGTTAGAAATGCCTGCCAAACACTGATGCTCAGGAAAAACTTATTGTCCAAACACAGAACCTAACTCCATTTTACATGTGAATCCAAAGTGCAGTTTTTCACTGAATTTCTCAGGGATGAAGCTTCTGTGTAAAAGTGAGAGCAGAAAGTACTTTGTGTGGTTAAGGGATTTACCATTCAGGAGACTCAATCACTAAGAGCAATGTCCTGTGTGACAGGAATCACCAACGCATCACACCTTCATCAGTCTGCACCTGTAGCTATCCCATTCACAGTGGTTCTACATAAGGTACAGGACTTGTTTTGCCCGTGCATTTACATACTAAAATTATAAATTACTTTCCTTCCCCCTTACTTTTATGTTCCAATTAGTACATTAGATCATTTAAAAATATATGTATAGAGAAGTTTCATCATCTATGAATTTTCAGGATAGAAAAAGGGTCAAACAATACTTACTTTATAAAGGGCAGCTGGAATACAGTGAGCAGAAAACCACTGCCATACAGATAGATAACTTATTTGCCTATATATCCCTCTCACCTAGTCCAAAGGTGGCACTCATTAAATATCTGCTGAATATAGTTCTGGTTCATATATTAAAAAGGTGACCCTTATTACACTAAAATCATACCATATGAGGGAGACTCGCAAAAAAACCAGAATTTATTTATAAAATATTGTGCATTTATTCTTACATTTTTAAACTTCAGTCACCTTCAAAGTACTTTGTGTTTGATGCAATACACCTATCAAGACACTTTTTCCACTGCTCAAAACAGTTTTTGAACTCATCAATACGGATGTCATTTAATGCTTCTGCCATTTTTTGTTTCACCTCTTTCCACATCAGCAAAATGTTTCCCCTTGAGGACTTTTTTCATTGGGAAAACAAAAAGTCACTCAGGGCAAGAGGGAAGGTGGGGAATGGGGATCATCCTGGTTTTGGTCAAAAGCTGCTGAACACTCAGTGTGGTGTAGGCAGGTACACTGTCATGGTGGAAGAACCAGTCACCTGTTTGCTACAACTTGGGACACTTTCTCCGTAAGTTATGACGCAAACTTCTCTAAACATCTAGATAAAAACTATGGTTGACCATTTGATCCAGAAGAACAAATTCCAAGTGTACTACAAGGGGACTGCCCTCCAAGAGATAATTCTGGGATTTTTTTTAATCCCTCCTCATATATAAATTTCTCCTGCATAAAATGCCTATCAAATATCAGGTGAATATGCAAGAACTAGGATGTTAAGTCCCTCTACCTCTTTCAACACTGAAACCGAACAGTACAGCACCCTGGGACAAGCACTGGCCTGAGTCCCGAGATACAGAATCTGCTCCCACTCTTGCTTCTTACTACAACCATCACAGCTGGAAAGTTCTTCTGCTGCTTAATAGAAGGCTTTGTAATTTCCAATGTAATTCTGGCAAAATCTGATAGTTGGGCAAGGTGTCTCTATGGGGACATCCTGCCCTACACACAGGACAGTCACTGGAGTCTTAGGCTGAATGTCAGCCTTACCTGGTCTGAAAGGTGACTTGCTGCTTGCTCAATTTCTGCCCTGGCAGCAATAGACTGTCCACACCACGGGGCATAGAAGAATAGCAGTACCACCTCTGAGTCCCGACGAACGTGCTCTGCATAGTCTAGCTGCCCCTGGAAGAGGTCAAGGACTGGTGACCTCGAAGAGAAAAAGTTGACAGGCGGCTTTGCTGGTATTATCACATCTTTTGCTCGACTAAAAAAGAGCAAACACAAACAAGATTGTTTAGTTTATCTTCTTCTAGCAATAGCTCTGTGACGAGGAGAACAAAGTTTAAAAGAGAAGTTCTCTTCTGAATGAGTAAATGGAGTCCCAAAATCACTGTCCTGGAGTCAAGGCAACATCTGGCTGAGCAAATACAAGATGTGAAAAATACACCGGAAAGCATTCCCAGAGATTCTGCCCCCAGCAGGTGTGGGCTGGGAGGGCAGTGGAGAACAGAGAAGGATGTCTTTGGATCACCCATATTCTCACCTCACACACACCAAAGACTTCAACCTACACCTTAGCACTCCACAGGAGCCACTGATCTCCAGGGTTTTGGAGCCACCACCACAGGCTCATAAGTATGGGAGGGGAACACGCACATCACCACTATAGTAAGATTGCCATGGGAGATGCTTACAATCCACTCTAGGTGTTAAGAAAACACTAATTATTGTCTTATAAAAAATTATTGTTTTGCCGGGCTCGGTGGCTCAGCCTGTAATACCGCGCCTTTGGGAGGCTGAGGTGAATGGATTGCCTGAGCCCATGGGTTCGAGACCCGCCTGGGCAACTTGGTGAGACCTCATCTCTACAATAAATCAAAAATGAACCGGGCATGATAGCGCGCGCCTATAGTTCCAGCTACTTGGAAGACTGAGGCGGAAGGATCGCCGGAGCCCAGCAGGTAGAGGCTGCGGTGGCTGGGAGCGGCCACTGCACTCCCGGCCACTGCACTCCAGTCTGGGAGACAGAGTGAGATTCCAACTCAAAAAAAAAAAAAAAATTATTGTTTTATAAAAACACTAAGATTATTAGTTGGAGTTGGCCTGTACTTATCCAGGGTATTCAAGTAAAAGTAACGAACAATAATATACATTTATCCTAATACATATCACAATCCTAAGGGTTATAAAGATAAATAACAAAGCAACAGCCTATTTAACTGGAAAACAGGCTGTCTGAACATATGAGATTCCCAGAAGGGAGAGCTCAGGAGGAGAAAGAAACAACACTGAGCAAGTGGTCAGAAGTCATGGAGTTGCCTCTACTTTCCCCATCTCACCGAGTTAAAGAGACCTAGTAAACACCTCAGCTGCCCACATATCTGCACTAATGTAGCACCACCATAACAGTTTTGCTAAGAAACAAATAGAAAATATTAACACATTCATGATTAGCAAATTTGTCACTTTTCTAATACTGAGTGTGGGTGAAAAAAAAATTTTTTTTTTTGAGTTGGAGTCTCACTCCATGGCCCAGACTGGAGTGCAATGCATAAAGGGGTAAATATTACCGATTGGTTCCTAAGAAAAAGGGAAAGGGGGTGGCTACATTGAGGGGGATTTGTGGGCAGGGGGGGTGTTTACTAGGCCTCTTTAACTCGGTGAGATGGGGAAAGTAAAGGCAACTCCATGACTTCGGACCACTTGCCCAGTGTGGTTACTTTCCCCCCCGGAGCTCTCCCTTCTGGGAATCTCATATGTTCAGACAGCCTGTTTTCCAGTTAAATAGGCTGTTGCTTTGTTATTTATCTTTATAACCCTTAGGATTGTGATATG